CGTGGGGCGGGGGTCGGCGTGGCCGGGCAGGCCGGGGAGCGGAGACGAGGCGTCCCGGTGCGGGGAACGGGATGAGGGTCCCGTGGGGAGGACCGGAGCGCCGCAGGGTTCAGCCACGGTCGTCCCCCCCCCACCTCCCCGCCAGCGGTGCTTGGGGCATGTCCACGCGTGACGTCCCCCGGGGTGGGGGTGCGGGGGGGGAATCTGCTCCTTTCAGAGGAGCGTCGCAGGATTGCTCTTCACAAGGCGAATTTCACGTGTTGGTGGGGGAAGTAGCGCTGGAGACTTTTTTTTTTAAAAAAAACAAAAAAGGGGCTATCAACAGAAGCACTGACTGTGTAAAATCATTTGTCTTTCGTATAACCTGCATGGAAGAAGCCTTCCTTGAGGGAGCAAGGTATGTTACTTCATGGCACATCTCACCTTAATCGAAAAGGTGATGCTACAGAGCAGGTCGGCTGCTCTGCGTCCACTTAGCTTATGTACAGTTCACATTCCAGTAAAGGCAGTATCTCGCCACACTTCCTTACCCTCGGAAGTATTTCCATGCAAGCTGCTATGCTGTCCGTGAGGCGTCTTCCCGAGCTCAGGAATCCTGCGAGAAGGTATTCAGTAACTTTATTCAGAGCACACATCAGAGGGCTTGGATGTTCTCAACCTTGAATTTGTTTTATTTAACTTCATCTCAGGTGAGCACTCGACCTGAAAATAACTGGAGTATATACAGTAAGGTATATATTTTCATCCTTTTTATGTTGAAGCGATCCTGTTTTCTTTAGCTACAACATACCACTTCCTGAAGGGAAAAAAGTATTCCTTGGATAAAGTATGTGAAATCCATCCCCTTTATCATAAGAATTAGGGAGGGCTTTTTAAAGTGCGTTCTGGTATATCAACAATTCAGTTTATCTGAAATACTGTAAGAGGTATTTCAAAATGCTTAACACACACATTACCGCTCCAAAGGGAGATGGTATTGTCTCATTTTTCTCAGTTGAGCGGCTTAGTCCCTGAACTTTGAAAACTCCCAAAACATTTAAAGAACGTGGCAGAGAGGGTTAGTTTTAGATTGGCCTTAACCTGTTCATTTGTCATGTAACTTTGAAGAAAAAAGGATACATGCATTAATTGCAGGGCTGTGTAGGTTCTTCTTCACTCTTAAATAAACTGAAACTGGCATGTGAAAATGGGGTTAATCTGTCCTGTGTGAAATAAAACTTAAGCTAACATAGTGCACTGCTGTGGTGCCATAAGTCAAGCACAGGAGGTTTCTGAGTGGTTTTTAAAAACTAACCCTTTTCTAGAGACCCACCCCTAAAACCCACAGATGCTCCAATTTAACCTGGTTTAGGGTTGTATGGAAAACGGACTTAATCAGACAGCATTTGGCTACCTCTCCATGCTTTCTAATTATTCCAGTAGTTTGAATGTTGTCCACTGCTTCAAAGTTGGTACATTTTCAAGTGGAGCTGGAAAACATGCCATTTCTTGGAATAATTATGCCATCAACTTGTATAATTTATTGGTTTGTCCTTAGACTGAACTGAAGAACTAAAGCTGTGATGGTTCTGCCAAATATATTGCACTGAATGTGGTTTTTCTGACATTATTGCGTCTTTTCTGACATTGTTGCGTCTTTTTTTTCTTTTTTTATTCCTGGAGAGTTGACATCTCTCTAGGTAGTACTAGTATCTGGTGTTCAGGAGTAAAACTGTGCCAGTAGATATCTATAAATGGTGTTTGGCCAAGTTACACCTAAACTAAGTCAGTTTTGGACTGCTGCCATGTTAATGAAGGCCATGTGTTACAGGGGAATATTAGAAATTAAGTTTTGAGCTGCAGGCCCTGGAATTGCTGATGCAGTGGTGGCTTACTGAGATGTTCCCCGCACACGTGCTTTCGTAGTGTCAGTGCTTCCTGCTTGCGGTGTTCTCCATCTCCTGCTCCATGAAGTGGTGCCTTGTGCAAGAGTATGTAGACCACCGACTTTCAAAATACCTACTTCCACGTTCTTCCTAATAAGCTGCAAGTGCTCTGTCATCTTCAAGATTCTTCAGGGTTACCCCCATTTCGGTGCTTTAAGTGCTTTGCTTCACCTGTGAGCGTCAGAGATTGGATTTCTGTGGGTTGTTTTTTTTTTTTTTTATAAAAGTCTCAGTGACCTACTCGAGTATGAACATGGAAAAATATGTGCACAGTCCCTTTACAAATAACTTCTTTTAACCATCTCTACGAATTAAAACTGTGTGCTTTTTCAGGCAAAGTTGAAGGATTTCTAAAGAAGCTTGAGTTTCCATAAATCTGAAAAAAAATCAAAAGGAAACTGATACTTGGTATAATTCAGCTCCCCTGTCCTGTCCTATCCTATCCATGAAAACAGGGTGCTCTTATATTTAAGACCCTGATCCACAAGTGAATCCCATGTGGATCTCTACTGCAGTTGGCAGTCTGTCTGTGTACTAATCAAATGCAGGGTAGAGAAGTTTGATTTTTTTTTTTTTAATTCCTTTTTT